CACAAGAGTCATAGTAGAGTGTCAAATTTGGAGCTTTAAGTCCTCCACGTTCTCTAACATCTTGAATAATCTTGAATTTAACACGAGCTTTCTTGCCTTCCCAAATAAAGCGATTCAAGTCTCTCTGCCATTCTTTCAAGTTAAGTTCATTTTTCAAAATAGGTATCATCTGAAACAGGAAAAGAAACTTAGGTAAAATATTCATTTTAATGGCCGCAATACGACCCAGCAAGGAAAAATGAAGTTTTTTCCACATTGATAAGTCTTTTTGTACTGATTTCCACAATTTCTCATAATTATTCTGATAAAGTTTCATGTTAGAGGAGGATAAAAAAATTCCCAGGTATTTGACTTTACTAACCACTTCAAAGCCTGATAGTTGCATAAGTTGTTTTTTATCTTTAACAGTCATATTCTTTGTAAGAATTTTAGTCTTTTGAACATTAGTTCTAAATCCAGCCACCTTGCCATATTGATGCAGCACTTGCAATAAAGTCTCCAATGACTCAGTTGGTTGAGACAATGTAAAAACCAAGTCATCCGCAAAGGCTTTAAGTTTGTACTCTTTAGAAGAAATTCTTAGACCTTTGATCAATGTAGAATCTCTAATTCTAGATAATAAAATTTCCAGCGACAATACAAATAATAAAGGGGAGAGTGGACAGCCTTGTCTAGTACCTTTTTGTATCTCTATAGGCTCTGTCAAATCTCCATTTATAATTATCTGAGCAGTCTGTTTTTGATATATCGCCTTTATTGCTGTTTTGAATTGATCTCCAAAGTTCATATAATCCAACACTTTATTTAAAAACTGCCATTCCAATTTATCGAAGGCCTTCTCCGCATCAAGAAAAATAAAGGCCGAAGGTATTTGATTATTCTTATCCAAGTATTCCAATAAGTTTACAATTTGCCTGATGTTATTCTTCATGTATCTCCCAGATATGAAACCAGTTTGGTCATCATGTATATAATGTTGCAGTATCTGCATCAATCTATTAGCCAAAATTTTTGCAAAAATTTTATAATCCACATTCAACAAGGAGATAGGTCTATAATCTTTAGCAAGGTTCTAAAGAAACAGTAGAAAGCCATAGTTTCTATATTTCCGAGAACAGGTACTGACTCCATAAACAAGAGGGTTGTATTAAGATAACTTATTTCAAAAATTTCCAACATTGTTACATCGACTGTTTCTGAATATTATTTAACGACAATTTGGTAGGCAGGGTCCTCGAAACGGTTGAAAGTTAACAAATTAACGATTTAAAATTTCATCTGTTGTAATCTCATCGTCCAAGATTTTTTGCTGTTCCGATGTAAGTTTATATGTAGGTGAAGATTGTAAATATTTATCAATATCCTTACTATTTATAATTTCTGATTAATACAAATGCGAGTAAAATTCAGTAAATGCCTTTTTGATCATTTCCTGTTGATGAATTTCACGCTCTTTGACCAAAACTTTAGATATAAGTCTCATTTTTTGCCTTTTACGTATTTGATGAGCCAGCCACCTCCCAGGTTTGTTTGCATTAGCAAATGTATTATGTTTAATATACCTCAAATTGGTGGCCACCTGATCAGCAATTAGTAAATTAAATTGATCTTTAAGCATTTTAATAGAGTTTTTTAAAATAATATCTGTTGGTCGTTGTAATAATAATTTTTCCTTCATCCCAATTTCTTTTTCCAAGTTAATTCTGGTCTGAGCTTGCTTGCGTTTATAGGCGTTGTTCATAGCAATTAATATTCCTCTTAGATAAGCCTTTCCAGCATCCCATACAATGTTTATAGAGGTTTCCTTATGCATATTAAGTTGAAAGAACTCTTCCATAGATTCCTTCAAAGCCTTAACCTTATCCTCATAGTTAAACAAATTTTCATTTATTCTCCAGGATTTCCTCTTTATTTTTTGACCAATCTCCATCCAAACCATACTGTGATCAGACAAGGTTCTAGGAAAAATTTTAGTTTTGTTACAATCTGTAAGTAAATCAGTCGATATCAAAGCAAAGTCAATCCTTGAAAAAGAGTCATGTCTGTGAGAGAAAAAAGTAAAATCACGTTCATTAATGTGTTGTGACCTCCAAGCATCCGTTAATTCTAGGTCATCTTTCATAGCAAAAAAGGATTTAGGTAATCTGGAAAGGGTTGCATCCTTAGAAGTTGTTTTTTTATCTTTTATCGTATCCAGAACCCCATTCCAGTCTCCCATAACAATCAAAGAATTATAATCCATCGCCACAATTTTCTGATGTAAGTGTCTATAAAATTGCTTTTGAGCTACAAGTTGATTGGGTGCATAAACCCCTATTATTAAACACTTTCTTCCATTTAAATTTATTTCCACAAATAAATATCTTCCTTCTTTATCAACTTGTTTTAAAACAAGAGGAATCCTTATCTTCTTGATTACTGTTTTCTGGACATACTTCTTTTCTAAAAGGGACTCCTCCAATCAAGATGCAGTGCAGAATAGAGGATAATGATGACTTCTCTTGATCTTGATATTATACTTGTATAGCAGCATATTTGAATATTCAGTTTCTAATAGTCAAAAATGTCTGTAATCTTTTAAAATGTAGTGCTGTCAAGGATGATTTCCCTCCTCTTTTCTTACCAATCTTGTCTATTTTTCTATCATCTGTCTCTGATTGACTGACTGTCTGACTCTAATTTAGAAACTTCCAATTGCCACGGGGCGAGGCAAGGCAAGGCAGGGGCTGGAGCAGCTGCTGCCTGACCCCATCAGCCCCCACACACCCAGAGGCCAGCCTCCTGCATCATGGTAGTCCCATCAGCATGAGCGGACACAGCCCCAGGATGGCCGGGAAGGAGTCCTTACCTGGTGTGTGTCCTGTCTACATGGTGGCTCTGACGCCTCTTGACTGGCCAACCACACAGAGAAGCAGGAGGTGGCGGCAGCGATCCCTGCATCGCCAAGCCTGGCCAGCCACAGATTTGGAAGTAAAGCTGTGCCGACCATCCTCACGCTGGTGGGGGGCAGTGGCGGGGGAAGGTGAGCTGTGGCACACACCCTCCCCGCCCAGAGGCGCATGCGGGACAGTGTGCGGCAGCAGCGGCAAAGGGTGCCTGCATGCCAGATCCTGCCTTCCCCCGCCGCCAGCGCGAGGATGGTTGGCAGAGCTTCGCTTCCGGATCTGCTGCCTGACACTATCGGCCCCCACACAGAGGCCAGCGAGCACATGGGGGCCGACGGTGATGCGTGAATCCGCTGCCTCGTCGGGCTGCTAGTGAGTAGCCGAGGCAGCTCCAGACCCCCGGCTCTAGACCCTCCACCTCCTCCTGCTTCCCTGCAGGGCTGACCGGCCAGAGCAGCAGCAGAAGCCACCCCCATCAGATCCGTTGAGTGGATGCGCCCAGGCAAAGGCTTCCGGCTATCCTGGAGTGATTTCCGCCCGCGCCGATGGGGCTCTCTGGCCAGTCCGCCATTATGCATGCTGTGGCTGCTGACAGACACTGTCGGCCCCCATGCGTTCGCTGGCCTCTGTGTGGGGGCCGATAGTGTCAGGCAGCAGATCCGGAAGCGAAACTCTGCCGACCATCCTCGCGCTGGCGGCGGGGGAAGGCAGGATCTGGCATGTGGGCATCCTTTGCCGCTGCTGCCGCACATTGTCCCACGTGCGCCTCCGGGCGGGGAGGGGAAGGCGTGTGCCACAGCTCATCTTCCCACGCCACTGCCCCCACCAGCGCGAGGATGGTCAGCACAGCTTTGCTTCTAGATCAGCGGCTGGCCGGGCTTGGCGATGCAGGGATCGCCGCCGCTTCCTCCTGCTTCTCTGTGTTGTTGGCCAGTCAAGGGGCTCAGAGCAGCAGCCGCCACCCCTGTCAGAGCCACCCTGTAGACAGGACCCACACCAGGTGAGGGCTCCTTTCCGGTCGTCCCGGTGCTTTCTCCGCTCATGCCGATGGGGCTGCACTGCGGAAGGGAGATGGTGGCTCTGATTTCACTCACTCTCCCACCAAAACTGCTCCTTTTAGGTTCCCTCACCCCACCCAGCTCTTGCAGCTGTTCCCGGACTGCGCATGCATGGAGAGGGGGAGGGAGAGGAGCCCAGCAATGGCGTGCATGCGCACAGAGACGGCTCTGCGTGCTGCGTGTGGCACGCGTACCATAGGTTCGCCACCACTGGTCTATGCATTTATGTAGGCACTTCACAAATCACTCCCATACTATACAAATATTGCTCTTTCTTTCAGACATATATGCTTATGAGACTCATAAACCAGTGTAAACCGGAAAGGAAAGATAATAATGTGAATTAATTCTGCCACATATTATTCACTTAGGTGAAATAATTTAAAGGTTTCATACATTGTCTTTGTCTTTTAGAAATAAGATCTGATAATATAAAGTGAGAGGTTAATTTGTGAAAATATTGTTTTGTCCCTACATCCTCTACAAAAGTTGACATTAAAGTAGATAATTTCAGAGAGCTACGACAGTTTTGCTGCAAAAATGCAGATGATCATTTGATGGCAACAAAAAGATACATTAAACCTTTTGCTGCCATCTAGTAGTTGGTTTTATCCTGATCCTGAGAAATGCAATTTTATATGAATATTTTAGCATACTCTTGGACTTTCCGGTTTCAATTTTGTAAAGGCAGATAAAATCATATAAAATTTGGACATGTCAATCTTGTAAATATCTCTGTTTGGAAAGTGGGTGTTATTATTGCTTTGTTACATGATTATTTGGTTGCAATCAGCCTACCTAACGTTTGCTTTGAAGGCCATGCAAGCTTTACACAAAAATAATATCCCAGCAGGGGGCAGTCAGGCACAAGGTTGATTATTTTCAGGCTTAAAATCAACTTTTCTTTGTTTGGAATCAGGAGAAAATTTCATCTATTAAGAAAAAGTTTTAAAGAGGTGGCAATTTGGGGCCTAGTATCTTTTGAGCAAACACTTGCAGTTAAGCTAGTGGTAAGCTAGAGAAAACACAGAGCTGTTTGTGGAAGTACAGCGGGTTGAGCAGAAAACCAAATGTGCTTCTGAGGGGCCCAGAGAAGGAAAGAGGGTGGGTGGAAAATGGATGTGGCCGCGCAATCATTCACACTCTGAAATGAAGGAGCAAGCAGCAGCGTCTTGTCATTTCTGACACTGGGCTTTCCTGTTTCTTGAGCCTCCTCCTGCCCTCTCCTTTAGTTACCCTGCTTGTTAATTAACACTGGCTCCGTGGAGATATTTACCTTTCTCTGTGGATTCCTGTGGTTTTAAAAGAATTCAGGTACTAACTGTGAGCCAAGGAATTCAGATTACCTCATAGGCTGTATTGTGGCCAGAGTCTGTTGCAGCAGTCCAGTCCTTCTCACAGTAACCCTTGCCTGGCAGGCCCTTGATATTTTGGGAACAGAGATAATTTAGGAAGTGGGGAAATGGCAACAGGTTCCATGATCAACGCTGGTTTTTTTTTTTTTTAATAGCAAATGTATCCGTTTTGAGCCACAATCCTTTGTACTTCTTTCTAATGCAGATTAATTACTTTAGGATTAAACTGGCTGCAACTGTTGGTCTCCAAGATCAGAGTGTCAGGTTTACTGTGAAGATGTAAAAACACCCTTGATTGATGGGTTAAAAAGAGAAAGGAAGGAAGTTGGAATGATAGTTGGGTGGGGGTGGGGCGGAATTCAGAATTGGAGAAAGGATTTGGAATTGATTTGGAAACTACCAGATCCTGGAAAGAGTTTATTTTGCAGTAGTATGTTATTACTTTGAGCCATTCAGTTACTGGAATAATATTGTAGTGCCCCAATAAACTTTACAATCCGTCATTCGTTTATAATCTGTTCATACTCATTGTGTTTAACTGTTAAAAGTGATTTTGAAATGTTTCCTACATTGAGATAAGAATGCAACACAAGCATAAAAGAGTGACTCAATAGTAATCCCTGCCTGTGATTGAGCAGAACAAAAAATTCTGTTTTCTCTTGATTCTGGAATCTATGTTTGCCACTTTAATAAGGCTGCAAACAAAGCATTCTGGCTTAGTAGAGGAGAAGAGGCAGCAAAAAAGAGAATAGTTGTTGCAAGTGTGTTTTCAGGTTCCACTTACTGTATATATATTTAACTGAATATATGGTACTGCATAAATCTTTTCTTGTTTCATGCTAAGGGGAAGGATTGTAATATAATGCAGTAAATGTTAATGCTGTTAAATACTCTGAGAATGAGAACTTACAGATGGCCTTATTGCTTCAAGTAATAGAAAGCAGTCACTATCTTTGTTTCAAGGAATCCCTTCTAGAATTTTAATTTCTATTGCTACTACACCTATTGTAGTAGTAGTAGTCATTAATGTTTGTCCCACTTGGTTACAGGTTCTGCTTGCATCGCTTTCTCTGCAGTTCTTCCAGTGAAGCTATTGATGTATGATGTGGGTTGTTGTTTTTCAGCTGACTTGTTGCAGAGTCTGATGCTGATCTGAACTAAGAGGAAGTGACTGGCCTAAGGTCACCTAGCTGATTTCCATGCCAAAGGGAGGGTTAAAACCTGAGCCTCCCAACTCCTACTTTAATACTTTAACCAATTACTACACTGGTTAGAGCAGGCATGTCAAACTGCCAGCCTATGGGCCGGATGCGTCACGCCAAAACTACCCACCCCATTGCTGGCAATGGGGAAAAAGTCACGATACGTCGCATGACGTCACATGACATTGCGAGTTTGATATGCCTGGGTTAGAGACATCCTATAGTCAGATTAAATCCCTTCAAAGTGGAGCTTCTATTTGTTGGTGATTGGATTTGGCTTCATTTTGGTTCCAATTTTGACTCTGTCATGTTTGACCCAGGAGGGACCTCTGCTTCAGCTTACTCACCAATTATAGGCTTTTTTGGACCAGAATACCCTGACAAATGTGATTTATGATCTTGTCACTTCATGTGTAGATTACTTCAGCAAGTTTAAATCAGGCTACCTTTGAAGCTAACTCAAAAACATCAGTTGAAAAAATTGGTTAGTTTTATTTTCATTAAAGATTGTTATGTCCATTTTTGTTTTGTAGGTTTGCAACTGTGAGATATGACCAGGGATCAAAGAATATTAAAAACCAATTCATGCATCTTACAAATTATAGTGTCAACAAGAAGAGTGGTGACTATGTCAGGTACTTAGATTTCTTAAGAGATCTTGAGCTTGAATTGGAAATAAATATCGGTTTCTGTATTTATTTAATTTTTTTATATTGTGTTAAAACAAAAGTATCTTAAAGCAGTTATTAAGTGCAGTCAAATAATATATGAAAATATGAATTAACCAAGCAGACTTTGGAGGTAGAATTTCATCACAGGTGATCAGGATAAAAGGTATTTCTTACGTTTTAGTTGTGATGATCCTGAAGTGGAGGATTATGGAAACAAATGGAGTATGAGTGCAATGCTGAGATACCTGAAACAAGAAGGAAAAGATACAACTGGTGAGCAGATATCTATTACTATTTCCTTGAATCATCTTTAGAACACCTTTTCATTTTAATTTTTTCCCTCTTTTGAATCAGTGTTGACCCTTGGCACCTACCTAGACAATTCTCTACAATTTTCTTAGTAACATTTTCAAAAGTAGTTTGCCATTGCTTGCTTCCTAGGGCTGAGAGTGACTGGTTCAAAGTCACCCAGTTGGTCTTTGTATCTAAGATGAGACTAGAATTTATAGACTCCCAGTTTCTACCCTAGTACCTTAACTATTGTACCAAACTGGCTGTTCTTCATAAATATTAGTAGATTTAATTATCTAATTGTCTGAAACTGTTCCTAACAGTTCTTCTCTACTTTGACTACTATACTTCTTCTGGGCTATAATCTCTTATCTATTTTTTCTCTGAATATGTCTTTTTGATATGTTCTTATTTTTCTTTGCTGTGTGTTTTTCTCTTTGGAATCGGAATTGTCTTTTATAATAGCACTTTCCTTTGAACAGTGACTTCTTTAGTGAATGCCTTTCATTCAAGAATTTTGTATTCTGTAGGAGATCTTATGCTCTTTGATTGGCCTACTGATAGCATGGTTAATTGACAATTGAAATTTCAACCTGTCTTTGAAATAATTAGTTTGAGGCATTCAGTGTTATCAGTGGTGACAGAAGACTTGTCTGGCAAAATATGTCCTTGTTCATTATCTTTTTAAAAAATTCTTTATCAATGTGACTTTCATTGGCACATTTAAGTACGGAATTAACTGTATGTCTACTTGAGACCATTTAATTAAGATGAAAACTTTTAAACATGCTCACGAACTCATATGAAATGGAAATGTATAATAATAATAATAATAATAATAATAATAATAATAATAATAATAATAATAATGATGATGATGATGATGTTGGAAGGGAACTTGGAGGTCATCAACTCCAACCCCCTGCTCAGGCAGGTAACCCTATACCTGAGCAGGGGGTTGGACTCTATGAAAGAGAATGTTGAAGAGTCAGTTTCTGTGATATCTATGTGGGCAAGAATGTCATAAGACTGAAAGATGGGTATTTGATCTTAAACCAAAGATAACTTTGGAGGACCTTCAATATATCTGTGAGAGTTTCTGAATGTAGATAATTCAGGAATAGCAAGAAATATATTTCTTTTTGTTGTAAATAAGATCATTGTAGAGAGGACCAGAAGTACTTTTTATATGAATACCATAAGTTTGTTTCTGATTATGAAATCAATTTTTGTAGGCATGTTCTCAAAGATATTTTGATTCTTATTGAAAAGGAAAGTCTCTTGTATTACACCCCCCCTTTTTTTGACAACTTGCTCCAACTGATAAGAGCTCAAAAGCCCAAATAGACCCAAGGCGCTCAATTTTTCCTTCCTTTACTATGCAGTGTCATACAGAAACTGTCATAGAAAATTTTTTCCTGGCAGTCATCTGGGGTCATACTTTCCTTTAATAGCTTATAAATGTTCAGGATCACTGATGGACATGGCATAGCAAAATATAGAGCAAAATCCCAAGTATGGCTAACTGGTGACAGTTGGAAAAAGTTAGAAGCTTAACTTGTGGAATATTTTTCATGAAGAGACTTTTGGAACAAACATGAAGGTGAATATGTTATTTTTATTTCTATAAACCATTTCAGAATCTTTTAAATAAAAATTACATGAGATGTACAAAATATTTCAAATCAATAAAAAGAGTTCCAAATTTGTTTGTTTTGATTTTGACACCACCTGACTCAAACCAATTTTGGTCAGCTTACAATATAAAAACTGAACTACAAATGGAATAAGGTAAGTAAGTACAATAAAAGGAATAAATAAGATGGAAAAGTCAGACAAATATCACCAAAACACAGGCAACGTATGCCAAATTCATTCAACAAAAGGATTAAATGTATGGTTGTAAAGATCAGGAGACATCATTTTGCATCTGAAACTAAATTTTGTTTTTACTGTTAAAATATTGTAGGTTAACAGTTCTTGACTTAAGATTATTGCTCTTGTTTTCTTTCCCATTTTTATCTTAGTTTTGATGGCCAGCGTGGAGGATCTGATAATTAAGACAGTAATTTCAGCTGAATTGGCTATTGCAGCAGCCTGTAAAGCCTTTGTCCCACACCGTGGTGTTTGCTTTGGTAAATCATCTTTATTTTTACATTTTCTGTTGTTTGTCACATTCAGGGAATATATTGGTACACAATATAATATAATCAGTTTGTGTCACTTAGGGGATGTCATTCCACAGAATTGGCACCTCCTCAATGAAGACTCATCTCTGCATTGCCACTATTCTGGAACTTGCAGAGGAGAGATGCACTCTAGAGTCAACAACCCTTGCTTAGGTCTTCTAAATGGAATTGATAATGGTTGTGGGTTTTTTGGTTTGTCTCCTTACAGTACAATGTATTGCCATTTGACAGTTTTGATCATGATCATGATCATTGTCACCCATGTAGTCTGTGATAAAAATAACGATCCTGATCCTTTTTTCCTGCCCCAAGAACTTCAGGGAATGCACAGGACCCTTCTTACCATTCCAGCTCCAATACTGAGAAGATGCTTAACATTTGTTTCCCCACAAGGCCAGAGCAAATCATTGCCTTTCCTTTCTGATTCTGAACTGGGAAGAGAAGATTGTTAAGAACTGTACTTGTGAGAATTGTATACCTGCTATGACACTGCATTTGGGAACACCCATCCAATAGGTCTTGACTGCTTCTAATATATTTTGTTAGGTGGTGGTGGGGGATTGGGAGATGTTTCTGTGCTGGTGGGCATTTAGAGCTAAAACAAGCCTTTATATAACCTGTCCAGAGTTGGTACTGGAAGCAAGATGTCTTCTTGGAGACTACAGAATCTTTAGATGCCCCTGAATTTGAAAATGGACAATAGAAAGGAGGTTGATTTTGTCCATACAATTCATTTCACAAATGCAGTAAGAGATTGGGACAAGACCTGATAGTACGATATGCTTACAAACAGGCACTTGGTCAAATTCAGCTAAAGCATGCCAACCCCTGACCTTAATATACTGTACAAATGTTAAACATAAAACCAGAATGTCCAGCTGGATTTCATTAAGGATAAATTTGGTATTCTGTTTCTCTTAGTGTACTAAATAACCATATATTCCTGGAAGGTGGGAAGCAAGATAGTTCTTTTTTTATTTACAATCAAGCACACCGTTTTTGACTGAAAAAAATTCAGTTTTCAGCTTTGGCTACTGTCCACAAATTATTTACTCATTTTGAAAATTGAGTCAGCTAGTAACTATTGCAGTTTCTGTAGAATTAAATCTTGTATATTACACATTGCATAAAGGAGGATTTGTTTGTAGTCTGAACTTAGAGTCTTTTTGTTGCAGTGAATAATTTGGCACTGTAGTGTTTTGAAAGATAAAGTGTGTCAGTGTTTAGATTCTTTATAAGACTGCCTATTCCAATAGTTTAAGTTCCATCTATCAATATTTTCTCCTGTATAGAATTTTTTTTAAAAAAAAGCAAACTGAACTACTCACAATATTTAAAATGTAGTGTACAATACAATTCTTGTGTAATAAAGATGTGAGACAGACTGGGACATTGTATCCCTTCTTAGTTTTCATGCTCACAGGAGCAAACCAATTATTCAGCTTTAAAAACACATTTGTTCATTTAAAACTGAACATTTGTTAAAAGGAGGTTTTACTATATATAATTTAAGTCAAATTTGCAAGGATATATTGACAGAAATCATAATTTAATTTACAGGATTTAAAACACCTGTATCCTTAAGTAGCCTATTTAAGCCAAGATTTTTACTGTATATGAAGAATTACTTTTCCTATGCTATGAATTATTTCCAAAATGATGGACACCATTATTCATACTCATATATATGATTTGCTTTTTAAAACATCCTGCCCTCATTTATGTAATTATATCTTTCCGTATGTTTGGTGGTTTAGCTGGTTTGGAAACATTTCTTTAATATACTTCATAATGTATGAAACATTCTACATTTTGACCCAGGATAAACTGTTTCTGACATCATATGCAAAGAACTCCCTAAGACTAAGGAGCTTGCCTGAATCTTAACCGGAATATAAAAGTTGATGGTATGGAATAAAATACGTGTAGTCCTCTCTGTTAAACTTCATGAAGCATCTGGACCTTGTTACTGTCTGGCTGTATTTAACCACTTATGTAGTTGAGAAGCTATGAATGGAAATATTCCCTAAATTTGTAATTCATAAATGTCCTGAAATACTAGTCCTTGTAATGGAAAAAGGACTAAAATGAACTTTAGTTAGAGCTCATGGAAGGCAAGGTCTGGGGTTTTGGAATTGTAATTATTGTTTTTAAATAATAGTTGTCAATATTCCTAAAACTAGTGATAATTAAAAAAAACTTTAAATACAATTCAAACAAAACTATATATAAAATCTAAATAGAACTACAAACATGTAAAGGGTGAAAGAAGAAAAAATGATTTTGTCTAATTTTCTAAATAGAGTGTAATAGTTATGTCTTTATACAAATTAATACAACTCAGTTTTTTAAATAAGAAAGTGAATCTTGAGAACATAGAAGTATATTGTCTAATCCAGACCTGGGCATCTTATGGCCCATAGGCCACATGGCCCTTTTGACTGTCCCTGTCCAGCACGCTCTTGATAAATAGACAAGTTCCAGATTTTAGGAATATAATTGAACATCAGTGTAATATTTTTAAATGTTTACTTCCTCCACTACCTGCTTAGCTATCTACAAATAATCTAATGTTTTCAGTGGCCTGATGCCCTTTCATAAAACCAGTTTGTGCAGGATGATTGATGATAATACCTTTTGCAATAATGCCAAAGCAACAGATATTGGATGGTAACTTGCACAATTTATGAGGTTTTGTTCTCAAAATTAGCCTCATTTGGCAAGGGCAGGCTCCTTTTTTTCAAATAGCTATATAGGAAGTAGGCTCTTTTTACAATTCCATTGAATGGGCATACAAAATACTTGTTAGATAATCCTCAGATTTTTGATCAACCACGAAAAGGGTGTTGATGTGGATATTTTCCCCATGTGTGTATAAGCTGAAATATGTTCATGTTGGTATGTTGGGTTTTTTGTTTTTTGTTTTTGGCTAAGCTTGTATTTTTCTTGATTGTACCATGTAGTGATAGAGCTTATATTAAGCAAAGCTTTGATATAAGAGCTTTAGAAATACATGTTGGCAAATAATGGATACTTCTCTGCCAAGGAAGATGGAAATGATTCCAATGGTTAGTACCAATGAATGCCTTCACTTGCTTTCTAGTACTGCCATAAAGGTTTTCCTTTGGTAGTCACCTACTGTTTCCTCCAGCTCTATATACAATACAGGATGGAAGCTGTAAAATTAGAAAATGCAGGCTAAAAGCTTTTTATGACTTTGGTCTTATCAAGAATTAATATTAAAGGTGGCCAGACTTAGTACGATAAAATGATATTTTATGATACTCATCTTATAATTGACAACCTTGATAGCATTACATTAATAGTGCAGTAATATTAGTTATATTAAATGTAGCTACTAGGGACAGTAGGCTGGGTAGAATCATATCTGTGAAGAAATAGGATTTAGTATGAGAAGGACTAAACACTGTGTCAAGGCTATTAAAGGTATATGTTTGGCCATTGGATCCTATTATCAATTTGTTAATTATATCTTTAGAGTAGAAAACTGCATATCTCTTGCAATAGCTGATGTGATTTTTAATTAGAGCATGAGCTGTTGTTTTCCAATGGGAAAAAATGGTGTATGGGAAAAATTAGCAAGGAACTTAGGGTTTAAAGAGAGAGAAATTAAGCAACAGAAGCTTGTTTGGAATCTTAAAGGGAACAGTAGAATAAATCTTATGGTTTGAGGAAACAGGAATGAGGAAAACCTCTGTGAGGTGGCATAAATTCTCAGAATCAGAATAGCAATAGCACTTAGATTTATATACAGCTTCATAGTGCTTTTTGGCCCTCCCCAAGCAGTTCACAGAATCATCATATTGCCCCCAACAATCTGGGTCCTCATTTTACCAACCTCAGAAGGATGGAAGGCTGAGTCAACCTTGAGCTGGTCAGAGGGGAACTGACAATGGGAATGCAGAGTTAGAATACTGTATTCTAACTACTGTGACACCACAGCTCTAGAAATATCTCCATTTGTAGTTGCTATTTTGATTTTTCCGTAGATTGTAGGCATGGAAAGTTATACGCTTGTGGCCCTACAAAATGGCTCTGAACTGTAATTCCCACAACATCTCACCATTGACTATATTATCTAACTTCAGCAGCATTTAGAAGCCCACTAGTATCCTAGCACATTGGGAAGCCAACGGTTGATAAATTAGTTTATTCATACTAGAACATGAAGACCAGTAGTCTAGCTGGCTTGCTTGCACTGATACATAACTGATTATCTAGAATATTTCAAATGTCTTGGTTTGATGGCATCTCTCTCTATATGTGAATAGCTGAATAGCTTGCTAAGCACTAGCTTCCATAACCATTATATGATTTTTTAATATAATTTGCACAAACTCTATAGAGTTTATGTATATTTCCCAAAGAAATACTATACATAGGATAATCTTTTTCAGTTTGATTGTGGCTGTGATGGTGCAAGGTGAAGTCCTGCACAATTAGAGACCAGATTAGAAAAGGATGACCTACCATAAAACCATATAATCTAAAAATTAAAGCGCGCAATCTCACACTTTCCATTTTTTAAATTTATATTTATATGGTCACCCATCTTACCAATGAGAGTCTGGGTGGCTAACAAGAGTTAAAATGCAACATTAATAATACAAGTATACTTAGAAAAAAACACATTTCCCAGCCAAATAACTAAATAAAAGAGCCAAAGTGGCTCTTCAACACGCTATTTTGTTTGCGCTTGTTATTAGGAGGAGTGGAAAGTTATAACCATGAACTGAATCTTTATCTTCTGACCTCTGGTGATCTTTTAGAATGTGTCTGTTGGCTTCTGAGGATTACATCAGGGATTGCCTGTGTGCTTTTAATGGTTTTTTCATAGAAGGCTATGAAATTGTTGGTTTTAAAAATATGTGCTGAAATCCTCCTACTGTTGATGACTATACCCCTTGTTAAATTCCACACTTGCG